ACTCTTTCCTACGCTGCATGTGCTAATTTTCATTGTTAATAGTTTTAACAAGTTAAACCTTTTGCCAATGAAATCCATAGTACGAATTGTCACCAATTCCTCACAGAGCTGGAATAATCCCGGCTTGGTTTCAGCTGTGACGACAAGTGCCCTGCCTGGGCTTGCCCGCTAGAGCTTACCTCAGCCCTGTGAAGAGGGGAGAGCCACAGCGTCACCGGTCCTCACCTGCCTGGACCAAACCCAAGGAAAGATGGAGCTTTGGTGAACTGACCTTTAAGTTAATAAACTATTGATTTCCCTTGACAAATGAATCTGTGCTTTTTCCCAATTCATGCAGCCACCATCCCAACCAGAGGCAGGGCAAGGCACAGATGCACCACGCGTCTTTATTTTGCTGGACAAAGCAGGTGTCCTGGCTGGAGCTCCTGATCACCCCAGAGCACCTGCGGGACAAACAGCTCAGGAACAAAAACCTCACGTTTGTTCTCATAAAAGTATATTACCTTCAGAGGAAACTCGTACCCCAAATACACCCCCCGTGCCAGGCTGGGCTGGCATCTCTGGTGCACCCAGGGCCATCTGGCTGGGGTTTAGGGCTGCGCTCAGGCACATTCTCCAGTTGTGGGGAGAGCGCAGCATGCGGGGATGCATCTGCAGCTGGATGAGCTCCAGGGGAGCTTGCTCCCTTTTCCCACCCGTACACAGAGCATCCTGTGGCCCCCAGTGCCCCACGGCAGTTGGCAGCCGCTGGGAACCACAGGGCCACCTTCCCCCTTCGGCTGGTTGGGAAAGGAGAGGAGCCGCTGGTGTGTCGGGGAGCGGAGGGAGCTGTGGAGGCTTTTGTTTGTTGTGTTGGTTTTGCAATGTTTAACCATGGGCCAGGTGCCCAGGGTAGTGCCTGGATATCCGAACCTGAGCTTTTTAAGTGTGAAAAGAAGAAAAGAATGGAGTTCTCCCATGAGAGAAGCTCCTTTCTCAGAGCTGCGCTGCTGTGGGCTCGTGTGTCTTACAGGTGTTCACGTTTATCAGATGATAAATGTGAATTAATCAGATGATTTATCACAAACCATGAATGTTGCTTCAGGATTCCCCTTTTGGTCTTGGGCCAAACCAGGGGCCAGAAGAGGGGTGAAATTCTCCTGGCTTCTGCCTCTTTGGTTGTAAAATAACAAACTTTCATTTCTGTTGCTGTGTCACAGAGTCAAAAAATGGGAGCTGTGAATCAGGAGTACTGCGTCAGCTCTGCCTTTCAGTTCTCTGGCTCACAGCAGCCTGCCTGTAAATACTGCTCACTGGTATATTTAGATGTACTGAAATGCTAAAAAAAAAAAAGAAAAAAAAAAAAAAGGAAATATGTTTACCCTTACATCCTTGGCATAACTTAAAATACACACTGGGTGAAGCAATGCAATTTAAGATGACCAATCCCCAGCAGTCTCAGCTTTATCCTGCTTTCTGCTGCCCTCCAGCCTGCCAGAGAAAGAGAAACAAATTCTACGTGTCGAGTTCATGCACCAACATTAGCTCCCAGCATTTCCCAGGGCACTAACTCCCTCAGAAATCATTCTTGGAAAGTAATAAAATTCAGGTTATTTATCCAAGCTATTGCAACGCTTGCTTGGAGCTATTAAAAATCTCTCTGACACTGGTATGCTCAGAGGATCAAAGTGGCTGTATCTTCAAGATAAATGCATATTTAGGCAATTTATTAAAGCCCGTTTCTCTGTTGTCTCTTGGCACCAAAGCCAAATCTATAATAGCTGTTTTCTGGAAAATCTTCTTAGTGCAGCCCAACTCCTCATTTGCCGTTTGCCTGTGAGGTTGCATCCCCGGCCATCTGCCATTTCGTAGTTGGCAGGTGGGGAACACACATCTTAAAAATCGTTGCTTTGACTTTCCATTACAAAGAAAGGGCTTTTAAGAGCTCGTGTACAGCATCTGAGACCAAGAATCTGTCTGCTCTCAATTACAATTCTATTACAGCTGTAGAGCTGAGCCATACAGCTGTATTGTGCTAAGGGAGAAAGGTCCGCATCTTATTTGGCTTCATCTGAGGCAGGACCTGCTCTCCAGGAAGCTTAGGAAGATCTCCTTTTAACAACTGCCTGAAATGACTGAAGACTGTTGTCTTTACCACCGCATGATTCCTGAGTCACGTACAACAGTGCTGCTAATTCTTCGTTTCTGCTGCTGACAGCTGTCTCTGTTTCTTGCTCTCTCCTAACTGCTTTTAAACAAATGCAGATGTTATAAAAACTTGACTACGTGCTTTCCTGTACAGTTTTGGTGAGGGTGTTTCCTAAGTAGGGAGCACAGGAGCTGCCTGACCCCAGCTGACACCTCTGCAGGGATCGCCAGCCAGAACAGAGCCAGCTCTGACGCTGTAGTCCTGGGGAACGCGCCAGGCGTCACTCTCAGGGTGATGCTGCTAGATGCTCCCAAAAGAGGATGAGCCATCATTGTGCGGTGCCAAATGTGGCTGCAGCATTTAACCTATTATCACATCCTCTGGGTTCACAGAAATGTCACGGCCTATGAAAAAAATCCTTCCCTCGATAGCAGTGGATCCAGAAATCATCCTGCCTCACCTCACTCGGGGGGCCTTGAGGGCTGGGGAGGTATTTCTCCAGGGCTACAGAAGCAGTGGCTTGTTGACATTCAGCAGTAGTTGGGACCTGGGGGTGGTGAATTGCTTCCCTTTGAGTGCCACCGTCAGTCTATGTCATCCGCACTGTGGTTCAGCTGCCTGCAAAGCCCTACTGCTGCCAGCCCAGCCCTGCCAGTGGCACCCAGTGCCTTGGCTGCAGTGGGCCAGCACTGATGCCGGCCAGCATGCCAGCCTTGGACCTAGTGACCTCCTTTATGTTGAAGTGGAGTTGCCTGGCGAGACATGGAGGCTTCTCAGCTCCCCCAGCGCTACTACCCCTTGCTGTTCCCCAAATCCCTAAAGAGGGTAAGAGGGGATGTAGTGACGCTTGAGAGCGCATTCTATCTCGCAGGCAAAGGGTGAACGTCCCGCCACAGCCTGTGGCACGTCCCCAGCCCAACGCGGCTTCCCCAAGAGCAGGAACACGTGTGGAAGTGCCAGAGGGACTGCCTCAAATGCTGCAGATGGAAGGTGTTTATGGGCAACCCTGCGTCCGGGAGCAAGGCTGAGCTGCTGCTTGGGTGGAGGAGAAAAAGCACCGAGAGCTGTCATTGTTGCAGGAGGCCGTCCTGGCTGTGACACAGGAAGGGAGCTGCATGTGTTCAAACAAGCACATTCCCACCGGCTAAGCCAACTGTGTCCAAAGGAAAGCAACCTGCCCGCGGCCTGTCATCCGCGTGAGGCAGGTTCCCAGCCCGCTCTGCCTCCATTTCTGCACGTTCAGCCTGTGCTTGGAAACACCAGAAGGTGAGAGGGAACCTCTGGTGACATCTTTGTGCCCCCTTAGGGTACCCACTGACGGCAAAGCCAAGGCCTTGCTCGGCCTTGCTGTTGACCAGTGCCCTGGCACTGGGCCGTGGGCCACAGGGCGGCCTGGGGGGACCTTCACCTCAGCAAGGAGAGGGTTTACTGCCAGACGCCTCTCGGAGGGGGGTGGCTGCCCCCCTCACCGGTACCGTGCAGTCAGACCACCCGCTCGGAGGTGCCGAGGGGGGGGGGTGTGTCCCCCATGGCCGCTCGGGGCCCCGTTTGCTGAGGGAAGAAGCGCCCGCGGGA